CACGATTGTAGTGCAATACTCAGAGGGCGCCTTCGGGGAGTGGACGTAGGTCGAGTTGATCGAACCACTATAAACCCTTGTGTTCTTGGTTTTTACTGCTTCTGCATTTATTTTCTTCCGCGCTTATTTTTTTGTGATGATTTGGTTTCTATTCGTGCTTTGCCTAAAGAATTTTTTAAATACCAATTCACCCCCCTCTTGGTTAGCCTTGGGCCAGTTCTATAGGGCTTAATATCTCTAACAAACTTTCAAAGAGCACTAGCTAAACCCCCTCCTCCACCAGCATATCAGAGTCCATAGGATGCCTAGATAGATCATTTTGCTCACCTTGAGAACAAAGTGGATCAACATATTTAGCGGACCAACCAACAAAGAGAGGAGTTACCTCGATAACATAATGAAGACCACTCTTATTTTTAGGAGCAATTTTTTTTCAATTCCTCACTAATTTTAGCCTTTATCTCCTCCACCTGATTAGGGCCATCAAAATTTTTAGGGTTATCTTTTTTGTTTTATGCTTATTAGTTATTAAATTTTGTTTAGTGTTGCATTTTTGTTTGTTTTTTTAGCTAGTCCTCTATTTTGGTGATGTCAAAAGAGGTAGAAGTTTCTGCTTTGTTTGAGTATCTTTTTTAATTTTTTGTAATAGTAAAAAAATTGTGTGCTTACCTTTAAAGAAATTTCTCTCTTATTATTTTTTTCTTTTTGGATATCAAATTAAGGGGGAGAAAATTTTTAAAATAAATAAGTTTTATTTTTCACTTTAACAAAAAATGATAAGATTTTGATGATTATAAATATTATCTATTATACTAATCACAAATTGAGTTTTTTGCACAATAAATTAAGTTTTTATAGAAATTTTATAGGAAGCTCAAAGGTGATGGAATCAATATGAGGACCTGATAAAACTAAAATAATTGAACACAAAGAAAGTCTGTTAGAGTAAAGAAGGTTAAGAAAAAAAAGTGCCTCAAATTTAATTTTATTTTCTTGATTTTTTTGTACTATAGGTATATAGTGGGTTGAATAATTCAAGCATACACTCATACAATGAGGTATAATAAAAATGAAACAAAGTTGAATAAAATATTTAACTTTTTGTTAAATTGTACTTTATGATTCACTTCATATTATATGATATGATGACATTTTTGGAAGTTTTGAAAGTTAAGTGGCATAAATTAACAAAATTTGAAATTAAAAAAATTATATAACTAATCATTCAGTATGATATATAACATACTAGGCGGTCATTTATTCAAAATTTAAACTATTGAAATTTTAATATTTCTAAAAATATTCAAATTCAAAATTTAAATGATTTATACTGGTTGAAGTCATTCGTACAATAAAAAATTTAATTCCTTGTATCATTATATACTTATTTTGGAACCTATAATTAAGGGGTCAAGTAATATTAGATACTAGACTAAACAATTGATAAGAGAAAAATTGTATGTATTATAATGTTATGCTTTTCTTATGTTTTCTGGAAGAAACATATGAAAAATTTTAACCAGCGTCATATCACCATAGCCTACCCCAACACCATAGTACAGAGATTTTAGAAAATATATATTGGAGAACTTAGTGTTAAGGTGCTATACAAGAAGTGCTACAGTGCCAGATGGTGCTCCACAGTGCCACTTCACCTAGCACCATGGTGGGAGACAGTTGAACCAATGAACTGATGTGATTAATGTTGAATTTATTTGATTGTCCTATTGATATGCAGTGCCACCAACCAAATTCCACATTTCCAATTCAGTTATTTTATAAAAGTATAAATACTAAGCTTAGTGTTCATGAAAAGGGGCTAGGTTGGCATATTATGGAGTCATTTCTCTGTGTGTGAGTGAATGTAAGGGGTTGTTCTTCAGAGGGAGTGGATATTATACTTGTTTAATGTGTTATATTAGTGTAGATAAAAGTAGAGAAGTGTAAATGGGTCTATAAATTGGATCCAAATTAATTTTAACCTTTTTTATATTGTTTATCTGCTGCCTTATAGTTTGTTACTTGTTGTTTTGTTATGTGAAATAAAATATTTATGTTGCATAAAATTGTCTCCATGTGTTAATAAATATTTATTCTAAATCTATGACTATTTAAGAGCTATGTATTGCATATAGTAGGTTAAATTTTTATAGCATTCATGTTGTACGTAATTCCTCCAAGCTTCTCTTAGTTTATTTTTAGGCCTAACATAAACTTAAAACCTAGTATAATCTAGAGCTTTAATGGAGGAGTAGAATAACAATTAGGGCTTTTAAAACATAATCTTTCATTAATAAATAAAAATGGTGGTTAGGACTATGGGATCTTAAGGAGAGAGTAGAGCTATAGTTAGTAGGAATCCTAATTAATACTCTATTGATCTCAAAAGAGATGAGGAATACTTATACTCTAATTTAAAATGATTATATATAAAAACTCTAATGTAATTATATATTTTTAAATATCATATATTTAAAACTTCTATAAATAATGAATTTATCTCATGCATTTGTAGTTTTTTATTTTAAATTTGCACAACTTAGTTTTCATCAAAGGGAAAGATAAGTATAGTAGTTTAGTAGGTAGCTCTAAAGTTAATTTAGAAAATTTTAGGGATCCCCAAGGGTAAGATACTCTTATCATCAATTTATTACTTGACATGACACATGACCTTAGATAAAGTAGGAATTACACATTAACAAATTAAACCATCTTTAGAGAACTCAATAGTATGTGTGAGCTAAAATGAGGAGCTCAAAATTAATAAAATAGAACCCTATCAAGTTTTTGGGGTCATTGCTTTGGGAAGTTTTTAAAATTAATTATATTATTCTGCATGTTATACTGTTGAACAAGTTGTTAGTTTATTTTTTTTTTAAATTACCTACTTAGTGTTACCTCGCTTACTAATTAATTATTATTATTCAATGTTTTACATTTTCTATTTTATTACTTATTATTGCATGCATACTATTAAACAACTCGTAGAACTTCTATTTGACATTGAAATTGACAAGACCTTTAAGAAAATAGAAAAATTACAAAATTACAAAAAGAATTGAAATTGGTTGAATAAATTCTATAAAATGGTTAACTCAGATCACCTAAGGAATACACTTACCCTATGATTGAAGGCATTCATAAAAGCATAAATATACATAGCATTAATGATAATAATTTTTAATTAAAAATTGCAATATTTCAAATGGTGTAAAATTTTTAGTTTCGGGGAACTCCAATATAAGACCCTAATTTGCATATAACTATTGCTGAAATATGTGCAACCTTCAAATATAATGGTGTTTCTAATGATGTTGTTAGACTTAGGTAGTTTGTATTTTTACTTAGGGAATAACATTAAGATGCAGTTAACTTTATAGACCCCAAGCTCATTTAAAGTTTTGAATGGCCTAGCCCATAAATGTTTAAATAAATAATTCCCCCATCTAAAATTACTAAGTTTATAAATGATATCACTTATTTTATCCAATTAGATGGAAAATCTACTTATGAATAATGACATAGCTTTAAAGAATTCCTTAAGAAATGTCCTCGTCTTACTCTCCTTGATTGGATAATCATTCAAACCTTTTATAATTCCCTTGTAGGTTCTCTTAGATCAAACATTGATAATGTTGCTAGTGGTTCTCCGATGTCAAAGACTATTGAAGAGACATCTATTTTGATTGAGGATATAGCTACCATTAATTTTCAATGTCCAACCAAAAGAGTGAATCATAGTAAGGTCTTGAGAACTCAAAGTTCCCTAATCATGTATTCAAACTAAAGAAAGCTTTGTATGGGTTGAAGTAAGCAACTAGAGCCTAGTATGAAAGGTTGAGCACATTCTTCTAGATAGAAACTTTGTTAAGGATGGTGTAGAAACCACACTCTTTCTAAAGAAAGAAGAAGAAGACATACTCATAGAAAAAATCTATATTGATAATATACTATTTAGATCTAGAAATAGAAATCTTTTTGATAAATTCTCAAAAACTATGACTGAGGAGTTTGAGATGAGCATGATGGGAGAACCAAACTATTTTCTTGGATTTAGTGTGAAGAAGAAGGATGATGGAACTATCCTTAATCAATCAAAATACATCAAGGATATTCTTAAGAAATATGAAATGGATAACACTAAGGCAAAAAATACTCCCATGAGCTCTATTATTCTATTAGACAAGGACACAAATGATAAACTAGTTGATTAGAAGAAGTATAGAAGGATAATTAGACCACTCCTTTAATTGAATGGTAGTAGATATAATACCATGTTTAGTGTTTATCACTATGCTAGATTTTATGTAGATCCCAAATAATCTCACATAATTGCTGTTAAAAGAATTCTTAGATACCTTCTCGAAACCTAAAACTTAGGAATATGGTATCCTGGACATAGTACTTCCTTTAAGATCATAGGATATTTTGATTCAGACTTTATAGGATATAGATTTGATAGGAAGTACCTCTGGAACATGCCATTCATAGGATTAGCATTAGTCACTTGGTCTAGGAGAAAATAAAACTCAATAGCCCTATCTACCATAGAAGTTGAATATATTGTTATAGGGAGTTGTGTTACATAACTCCTATAGATTAAATAACAAATCTTAGATTTTGGACTACCTGTAAAGTCCATTAAAATCATGTGTGATAATACTAGTGTCATTTGCATATCAAAGAATCCAATCCAACATTCAAGGACCAAACACATAGTCATCATGCACCATTTCATTAGAGACCATTTGACAAAAGAGGATATAAAGTTACATAATGTAGCTATTGAAAATTAATTTGTAGATATATTTATAAAACCCCTAGCTTTTGAAACCTTTAGCACCTTAAGGACTAGACTAGGTGTTATATATATTCATGCTTAAATCATGAAGATTTGAAAATTAAAAAAAAAAAATGCTATTGTGTGTTTTTCTTTTAAATTTATTTAATGACAGTTTGTATTGGTTTTTCTTTTGTGCTCTATGATGTATGTGTTTCTCTTTAGTATGTATTATTTTCCTTATAAAAAAAACTCCCTAGTTTTGAAATGTTCATCTCGCAAGTGTGAGTTTAGGAAATAGAAAAATTATAATTCATATTATTTAACAATAATATTTTTCATCATTAAAAAAGGGAGATTGCTATAAATCTAGACCCAAGTCTTATGATTTTGATAATAAGAAATATTATTGGATTTCTTACAATGATATCTCATGTTAATTATTATTATTTCATATCTATTTTTCTATGCACTAACATTTATGGTCCACCGTTTACTTGCTAGTTGGATAAGCTCAAGATTGGGTAGACTAAGGTTAAGTATATTGTGAAGAGTCTATATTTTAAATTCTTATATATTTTTATCTTTCTTGAGTCAAATCATGTGTATTGTGTGGATACTAAGCTTGGAAACCATACGCATGCACACACACACACACTCAATGGAGTGAGTTAGTAATAATATTAGAAATGGGATATTTTTAAACTAATTATATTATATGATTCATATCATATTGTATGATCAGCTTTTTTTTTTTTTTTGAAGAAAAATCATAAAAAGGTTTATTAATCAAACAATTAACCTATACAATCATCAGACTCCTTCTCCAACAACTTAATGAAAGGAGGGATGTTGTCCAAAGAAATATTTTGCCAACAAAAAGAACTAAAACAAGCAAAGTTAGCACATAAGTCGGCTAACTTATTGTTCTCTCTACTAGTACAATTAAAAAGGACATAATTAAAAAGTTTAATAAAAGAAATGTCTAAAGAATTAAAACCTTCTTTGTCCACCACTCCCTTAATGAAATTAATAACATTGTAGTTATCCCCTTCAATAATGATGCCTTTGTAATCAAGCATCCATTCTTTGACCATCATATTAATTGCCAAAATCGATTGAAGCTCCAAAGCCGCTGCATCCCAATGAGTGTGAGACATACCGAATGCCAATAGAAGTCTTCCTTAATGATCTCTAAATACTCCTCCTATACCAGCCTTGTAAGAGCTATGTAGAGCCGCATCTATGTTTACCTTGATCCAATCAGGTGGAGGAGGATGCCAAGAATTAAACAACCTAGATGGTTGATTAGCATCATCATTACCTGAATACGAGAAACTGGAATTCTTATGTATGGCTGAAGAACATACAGCATCCGAAGCTATCATCAACGTGCTTTTACATTTACCTTCATGAACAAAAGATTTCTATCTACCCATAAGTGGTAAATAGAATTACAGAACAAACTCCTTTTCCATGTGTTTTTATTGGCCAACCATTCCATGCAATAATCTATTGAATAAAAATCAGGAATACAAAAACCTCATTTGTTTAAAACAGCAAAAGTTTCTCTGATTTTCCTGTAACCATAGATGATGTGCGTATTGTCCTCTACATCCTCACATCCTCTTGGACATTTATTCAACGTTTGCAAATTTCTGAAGCATAGAAACTGAAATGTAGGAATGGCATTATTAAATAATCTCCACCAGAATAGCTTAACCTTCGGACAAATTTTCGTCTTACTAAACCATTTCCAATAGAAGACCTCTATTTTATCATCCACCATGGCTTCAGAAGCAAGAGCTATTACAGTTTTGCCAGATAACTGATTGATCAATTCCAGCTGATCATTTTCCATAACTCCCCGAATTCTGATAGATGTGATCAAATTGATCAATTCTATACCAAAGAACCTCCTTAGCTTATTCTCATTCCAGTTCCCTTCACTGATAAAATAATCCACAGTAATATTCTCTTCATCATGAGGATTAACAAAAGTAGGCCAACGTAACAAACTCTTATCTAAAATCCAATTGTCTTCATAGGTTCTGATATCTTTCCCATTACCAACCAACCATCTAGTAATGGGTTTCAAGAATTTACCTCCATTACAT